TTATGCCTGTAAATCTCCCTCACTCCTTGGTAATTTAGAATGAATTTTTGAAGGTTGGGGAATTGCCTCTAGAACTTTTGCAGACTTCTTTAGTATTTGGACATTCGATCTTTCTGCTTGAATAGATAACCCTATCTTGAATAAGTATTCTTCATCTATATATCTTCTCAAATAACACACCTTATAAAGTAGGTCATCAATATAAGGAAGCTTGAGTATCTTCAATAAATCTTCTGCTTCAATATGAAGGGGAACGGGTAACTCATTCAACTTTTCCCATTTCTCTTAAAGATTCCAATCGTTTTGCATGAAACAGAAATTATTGATCCAGTCTTTTGATGGATTTCGAGTACGAATATCCAACTACTTGGATCTGAAAGAGATACAACTATGTGTATCACTAATAAGATGCCCAATTCGAGAAAGGCATTTGAAGATAGCACAACTCCATGAACTCTGAAAAGTATGACCAATCCCATTATGATCGACATGACCATGTAAGAAAGTTGAGATAAACTCACTTCACAGATCGTCAGAATATCAATCAACTCAGGAGATGGTCGAAATCATAACCCTACTCGCAAATTGAATTTATACACTGTCACATATCCCAAGGGAGGATAATGGGCACGATCAGATCTTATCGGGACCTTCATCACTAGATCATTAGTAAAATAAATTTTTTTTTCTAAAAGAGATAAAAGATTCATCAGTGATGGTGGAGATAACATCATCAGTCTTCAGCGTCTTGTGAGTCTTTTTTAAACCTTCAGATCGGGCAATAGGGCGATCTTCTTTGGCGGGGGAATTTCTTATGGACGTGTGATTACCCATTTCAACTTTGATACTAAAGAGGAGCGCTAAATTTAAGTGGTGAAAATCACCTACGAAAAATAGTCGAAAGCCTCTAGTGTAAGAAGAAAAATGGGGGAGTAAGAAGGAAAAAGAGGGAAAATCTTCAACTTCTGTACAAGAGGAGGGGCGCTGAGTTAAATAGGGAAAGTCATCTTCTAAAAAATAGCGGAAAGCCTCAACAATCAAAAAGTCAAAAGGAGAAGAAGAGAAGGTGCAGGTTTCACCCTTGCCCTTCGGGGTATTTATAATTTTTTGAGAGGGGAGAAGCTTCCAAAATTTCCTAGATTTTTTCAAAAAATTTCAACATTTTTTTGAATTTCTTTGGATTTTTTGAGATTTTTTTGAATTTTTTAATGAATAAAAAAAATTTTGAAAAGCAGTTGGCGGTTCGAGCAACCTCAAGCGGTGAGCCCGAACCTGCACCCGTTCGCCAACAGGCGCGTGGAACCACGTAAGCTCGGTAGGCCGAGCGCGGACCAGCTAGGTTTTGCGCGGGTGAGCCACATGCGAGCCCAGGTGAGCCACGGAGCGTGTCACGGGTGTGCCGAGTGGGGCCGCAGTCGGGCCGAGTGGGGCCTGTCGTTGGCAGCGACGACAGCGGCCGACCGGTTGGTTTGGCCAGTTCAACTACCCACTCAATTTCAGGTCAAATTTTTGACATGTAAAGGCCAAATTGGACATTTTTTGGGGTCCTGAGACCATTTTTCGAAGCTCCGAACATAATTTTGATATTTTTAAAGCTATTTGAGGGTCCTACATGCAAGATTGGATTTCAAATCATATGGAAAATTCTATAAAATTTGTGACGTATATTTTCGGACTCCTGGAGCTTTGACGTCCGAAAATAAGGGGGCAACTGATATATCATCAAAAAAATTATCTTGATTGTGCATGAATCTCGAGGCAAAATCAAGCCGAAAACTTAAAAAATTAAATTTGGGATCACCTGAACTCATATTTCAGTGAACTTATAATCAAACTAAGCGTCTCAAAGATACAAACTCAACAACACCAAAATCGACTCATTCCGAGCCCAAATGAGTTCAAATCAAGCACCTGAAGTGCTATTTGAAAGTTCAAACCACAATTTAAGTTACCAAACGATTTTTAAATTCTTATAGTTGAATCGAGCGGCTTGACAAGCCGAATCTAACAAGCCCAAGATCGCCAAATTCCAACATCATTAAGACATTCAAATGTGTGACGAACAATACACAATCAAGGGATTCAATATCAGTCATCCATCCTAATCACCAAACATTTGCTCTTGATCCTCCCCCTATTTATGGGTCATGCCATCCTTAAAAAACTATAAATAGCCTCACATTTCTCTTGAGAAGGGACCCAAGCAAGAAGAAGAAGACAAGCAAGAAGAAGAAGAGATGAAGATTAAGAGGGAAAAATCTCCTCGACCACCGCTGCCAGAATTCTGTTCGACTTCCGAACGACGTCGAAATTCTGCCCAACTTTCGAACGATGCCAAAAGTTTTCTCAACTTTCGAACGATGCCAAATTCCCCTCGACTTCCGAACGACGCTGGAATTCTGTTCGATTTTCAAGTAACGTCGGAACTCTGCCCGACATTGTAATTGAATTTCAATTTAGAACTGATTCATTGTAATATGATCGTGCTGACTTTTACGGACGAGTCAGCCTCTTGTATCTCAAGCAAACACTAGTAGAACTTTTTCAACTAGGCGTAGCCCCGTGGGTTTCTCTTACTAGGGTTTCCACATAAAAATCCTAGTGTTTCTATCATGTTTGTGTACTAAATATCCATACAACACTGAGACGGAAATTATTTAACTCTATTGCCACGTATATTCTAGTCCGCAACAATAACAAATCTTAAATGAAGTTGAGAAAATCATATATATATATATATATATCTGATTTAATCCAGCAAAAAATAAAATTCAAAATTCATCAAATAATTAGAGAGTAATTAAAGAATAATTAAGATGTTTAAGGAAAATTAAATAACAAAAATTACTCTCAAAATAGTGGTCATAATTTTATTTTTAAATGATGGGATTTAATTTTCTGAAATAATAAGTATTTTTTTTTTGTAAAATTTGGTTAAGTATTTAATTTTATATAAATTTTTGAAGTTTTCTGGATTTAAAGGCATTTGAAAAAATTATTAAATTAAACCGGCTGCACACCAATTATTGTGTCGTCGACAATCATTAGTAACTAATCAAACCACATCAGCGCATTAATACTAATAATTAGTCTGTGGCAGCACAACTTTTAATGATGCGATTTCGACTTATCCGTGTTAGCTTGTGTCGTCATCGGTTCGATCCTCAACAGTTTGGAATGGACGACCCAGATTGCACCAGATAGAAGATGGAATGGCATATTGAACCATGTTGTTTGGACAAATGATTGAACGACGCGATCTGAGACGTTGATCGTGAGATCAACGACACAGATATTGTATAGTTCATGCACTATTTATCCGAAACCCTAATGATGAAGATCATATCGTTTACAAAAATTACCTTTCAAAATTTATAAAATTTTAAGCAGAGATTTAAGGGATATAATAGAACAATGGGGAAGTGATTTTGCGGTTTGAAAGTGCATTATATAAAGTTATTTAAACCTAAATGTTTTAACCTAGGGTTTGAGATATACCTTGACAAGATGGATGGATTTTGATGCTTAAGGGATTGTTGAGTTTGTAGATTATCTTAGATTAATCCTCTAGAAGACATCGAGAGCTGAAATGGTCTAGATCATGAGTTCTAGACCTTGGATAGACTAAATGCTTGTGTGGTTGGAAGATCGCTACCAGTAGCTTGCAACCACCAGAGTTGAACTAGGAAAGTGTGAAGGGATGTTTAAAGAGGCAGAATGAAAAGAGATCTAGTTCTAGGAGGCTGAGAGTAGTGAGAGAATGTAATGTGATTGAATCAACTAATTTTTGTTCCTTTGGCCAATTCAAACCCCTTGAGACCATTTGGATGGCTATGATTGCTTTGGAAGTATTCTCTGATATTTGCCATTTGTCCCCAGGTGATTATGAGGGTAGGAGAAAGGATAGAGCAAGTACTATGACTTTTAATGGTTATTTTGTCCTTTTATGGGCACATGGGTCGTTGGGATGAGTTTAGGGTTGAATCAATGCTTAAACCATATTTAGGAGCTATTTAGGAGTATTATAGGTGTTTAGGCTGTTGGAGTGGATTGGATTTGGAGTGTAATGGGTTGAATTAGGTAGATTGGGTTGACTAGTCAACTAGTCAAGATGGATGAGGCAAGTAGGGAATGTATTGGTGCTGGCTGATTGCTAATCATGGCATTAATAATCAGTAGTTTGGATAGGTCCTGATGAGTTCAACACATACAAAAATAAGGTCAACAAGTATAAATTTAGAAATAATAAAATTTGCTTTAAAACTTTAAAAAATGAGATACTAAATAATCTTTAAATCCTAACTAATAAAATTATGGGATTTTAAATTCAATTATTTTGTGAAATTACATTCAATATTTGTATTAGTTAAATATATAATTTGTTAAATCACGTAATTTATAGGATTTAGATTTTTTATGTCATAAATTTTAATCCTCTTTAAAGATAATAATATATAAATTTTAAAATAATTATCTTAAAAGTTATTAAATTTAAATTTGTAGAATTTATTAAACCCTAGACGCAAAACTCCCGTTTCCAATCTCCGCCCTCGCGCGTGTGTCTCACCAGTCCAGGATTTATCCGAAGAAGCGCGCGAAAGGGAGAAAGTTACCTTCACAGCCAGCGAGCTCCCGTTCTTGCTTCCGATCAAAATGCTGTAACTTCCGATCCGGGTTGATGTCGTCGTAGGAGCGAAGTCGAACAGCCACGAAGAAGCCGATGAAGCGACGCCTGCAATCTCTACACCTCCTGCGAAAGCAACTGAGCCGAACAGCAACGACGAAAAGAGAAGATGAAAGGCAAACCCTAGACGCCTCTAAGTGGATTTAACACATTTCGGATTTACTAAATCCGAATTTACAGGATTTATTAAATCCCACTAAAGTTAAATCCCACTTGTTGCCAAACAGCCCCTAAAGCCTCCCGAGGATAATCAAAAAAAGGGTATTATTAGGAGGAGAGAGAAGGACAAGTAGAACCTTTGGATGGGGGCGGGGGCGGTGGCGGCGGCAGAGTTCTTTAGCGGCATGGACGACTGCTGCCTGAAGCCACCAATGCTACGTTCGGTGGTTCGTGATCGCCTCCCCGACGAGAAGCGGCCATTTCGACTCGCAGAGCTCACCGCTGTGCTATCTCACGTGCGAACCCATGGACTGCTATTTGAGCGCCACCCGGACATCACCGAACGTAAGCTTGTTGAGGCTTGGAGGTCCGCCGTCGATGGTTGGGTCGAACGCGTCCTTTCGCTGGCCTCGAATAGCGCGGTAGTTTCTCCTATTGTCTTTTTCTCATAAAAAAAGCAATCACAATTACTTTCTTTTTCTTCTTCTTCTTCTTCTTTTTTTATGGTGGCATTATTTGAATTAGGAAAGATGCAGTTTTTGCTGTTCAAATTTGTACTTTTGGTGAAATACCATATTTATTTTACTCCCTGGTTGGCATTTAATGATCTAGCCAGACAAGTGTTGGGCCGGAATTTGTTTGCTAGGGGTAACAAGCGAAGAATGCTGCTCTGATCGTTTCCAATCATCATACACTATTTGGTTTCAGAAACTTTTTGAAAACTTTCAGGTATTCTACAAAAAGAGTTTTATGAGCTATCCTTTATTATTTATTAGCATTTATGGATATTATGTAGTTTCATTCCTTTCCGTTGATGCAAACAGTCTCCATCCGCCACCCATATTATCAAAGTTGCTTGCTGTGCTTCATTGGCTGATCTTTTCACGAGGTTAGTTGACTATCACTTCTCAATTCTCATACAAGGAGCTGGGAAATTTTTCTTGTTGATACAGAAATTGACTATTTTATTAAAAATAACATCAATATTGTTCATTAGATTCTATTGTGATAAATCATAGATTTTTGAACGGGTATAAATTATTATTATTTTTAAATTATATAAATGCAAAAAAGAAATATATGTTATTTAAAGACATAGTTGATTTGCTTTTCTAGTGTATTTCAAGTAAGCGCAATTTCCAAGGTGATTATTTAACTATTACAATTGGTTTAAGGCTCATTTTTTTAGTTAAACTTTTCATGTGTTGTTTCAAAAAGATTAGCTTAAGTTTAAGAAATTAAGAAGTTAGATTTAGAGCATGTCTAGTTCCCACGCTTTTAAAATACTTTTATTATATGTAAGGAAAATGCAGCCTTTGCTTTTCTAAGTACTTGAAAGAGGAGAACTGAATTTGAGCAGCATGTATTGACATCTTCATATTGTCATCAGGTTGGCCTGCTTTCCATATCTTAAAAAAGATGGAACATTGCTTGCTAGAAAAGTTATCAAGCCAGTTATGCAGATTTTAAATGAGGATGCTGGAGAAACTTTGTGGGTTAGGTTCCTCAAATAATGTTTCTTCATATTCTTGTATCATCACCTTTTATAAATAATTGATGCTTTTTACATTTATTACATGTTCGTCCAGGATGTTGCAGCAAATTTGCTATGCACGCTTATGTCTTTCTTTCCATCATCCATTAATCAGCACTATGACACTGTAAGCAAAAACACTTGTGCTCTCTTGTGATTTTTCAGTGTGCTGACTATCATATATATATATATAGGTTGAACGCCATGGCATTGTGAGCCACACTACAGATATTTAGTTTTCGGCAATCAAATCTAAAATTTTTATATTCAAGTAATTAAACATGTTTTTATAGGCTCTCAATCTACCTTGTGAAAATGGGAAACTAGCAAGTAATAGAAAACTGGCTAATATGTCATGCACTATGAATAGTTGATTAATTAAAAGTTGTCATAGTAGATAAATGAGTTAGAAAAGGGTGGTTATGATGATGCAACCGAAGAACTGTTCACAATGTTAATGTTCCGCTAATCACTATGATTGGTGCGGCAAAGAATTTTATTGAAATTATTTTCTATTCTGAAACTTTATAATTGATGAAAAACGGTTTTTATGCAGTCCTTCTTATAATTTGCTCTATCATATGCAAAATCTATAATTTCCAGAAGAATTTTCTAATTGTCATCCTTCTTTTATGTGTCTTTATGCAATGACTATGCCAATAATGTTCTATGAGATCATAATTTTATGTCAGGTTGAAGCTGTTCTTACTTCAAAGATCATGGAAGCAAAATGTGACTTAAATACATCCAAGGTGATGACAAATTTTTAGCAATTACAAAATATATTATAAGAAATGTTATCATTGATAGCCAATTGTCTTGCATTTTCATTGCAATTTTTATGTGTTAATTCTCATTTATGAATATTTTGTGCCCTTTTTCTCAGAAATTTTCCCTTGGCTTAGCAATACTTCCTAAGGTGAAAGGAGATGAAGAAAGCTTCTATTTGGTTATTCAGAAGATTCTTATAGCCATAAATTCAATTCTCACTGATGCTTTCCAGGGGCTTGAAGAAGGTGCAAATTCCCCACATTTATTGAATCCACTATCGGTCTTTACATCTTAAGTAACATACATTCTCTTATTTTCTAGAAAAGAAAAGTTCTGAGGTAATGAGAATGATAGTTCCTCCGGGCAAGGATCCCCCACCCCCGTTGGGAGGTCAAACATTGCCAGGAGAAGCATTTGAACCAGCAACCAGAAGACTAAGTGAATTACTAGTTCCAAGAGTGACTGCTCTAATGCATTCTTGCTGTATTATGCTCACTAATCCTTATCCTTTTCCGGTATGTCATGAATTTAATCTATCTTTAATCACATAACTTATTTGGCTGTCTAAGGAGAGATTAAAGAGTGGATGTTCTCCTTCTATGATAAAAAAAATTGAAAGTTACTTAATTGAGCTTCACCCATTTTTTGGAGTAATTTAATCATTCATCAAAACACTTGAAATAAAAGTATGATAAGTTGAAACCTCTATTAAAATTCAAGGTTTTACTTGTGTATTTCACAACAACAATAATAACATCAAGCCACTATCCACTACGTGGGGTCGGCTACATGAATTATTTTTTTCTATTAGTTTCTATTAAGAGTAAAATTCTCATTTAAATTTAATGAAAAAGTTATTTTTATTACTTTCTAACTAATTTTTTTTGGGTCTAACTCCACTTTTCTTAACATTTGCCATAACTAATACATAAACTCTCCTAATCAGGTCATCAAAAGGCCAACATTTATGTGACCAAACCATCTAAGGTGACTCTCTCTATCTTATCTGCCACTAGAGCTACTCCAATTTTTTTATGTATACTTGATTCGCATTATGTCTGTAAGTGTAAAGCTGCTCACAATACAGAAAAGTAATCAATTTGTGGCGGATTTGCAATGGACTTTGCGACGAAATTTTTTCCTCTGAAATTGCAATGATTTTGCGATGGAATTTTTCATGGTATTTTTTGTGACTGCTTTGCGGTGAAAAATCCGTCCCAAATTTGACGCAAAAAACCTTATCTAAACCAACTGACTGACCATTTTTTTCATTTGCTCGGCATTCTATTTTGACTGCACCTGCAAGCTTTGATGAAATTCACTTAACATCGTCTCCTTCGACGAAGTTCCTTCCTCTCGCATCTAAAGTCACACTACATCGCCGTTCTTTGTCTTCACAGTTGTCGTGTCCCCTCTCACCGCCAGTTGCTCGGCCTCCTTTGACGACGTTACTTCCTGTTGCCTCCATCGACGACTCTCCTTCCTGTCACATTTGAAGTACGCCACCATTCTTCTTCGTCGTTCCTTCGACAGTTCCTCGCCGTCATCTGACCTCTGCCCGCGACCTTGCCCGGCTCTTTCCATGACGTTCCTCTCGGCCAATCGGAGCTTGCCCATTGAGAAGGTATCCATCTTTCTTGCTTAAATTTCATGAGTCTATTATTTATTGTGATGGTGTAATAGATGTAGATATTATTAGTTTAATTTGTGTTGGATGGTTGAAATGGAGTAGTACATCATGCTTATTGTATGTGATAGAAAATTCCCTCTCAAACTTATGGGAAAATTTTATAAGATGGTAGTGAGACTTGCAATGTTTTGTGGTGTAGAATGTTGGCCATTAAAAGAGAAGCATAATATTAAGTTAAGTGTTGCAGAGATGAGAATGTTGTATATAATAATCATAACATGTTGGATTGTGAGTAGATTTTGTGTTGGATGGTTGAAATGGAGGATAATGCATAGGGCTTATTGTGCGATAGATAGTTTCCCCTCAAACTTAAGGAAAAGTTCTAAAAAATGATGGTCAGACCTGCAATGCTTCATGGTGTAGAATGTTGGCCATTAAAAGAGAATCATAATATTAAGTGTTGCAGAGATGAGGATGCTTATTTAGATGAGTGGCTTTACTCTTAGAGTCTACTATTCATGGTGATAGTGTAATGGATGGAGATATTTCTAGTAGAATTCAAGTTAGTTGATTGAAGTGGAGGAATGCATTGGGCTTGTGTGTGATAGAAAAGTCCCTCTCAAACTCAAGGGAAAATTCTAGAAGATGGTAGTGAGAGCTATAATGCTTTATGGTGTAGAATGTTGGCCATTAAAAGAGAAACATAATATTAAGTTAAGTGTTGCAGAGATGAGGATGCTTAAGTGGATGAGTTGCTTTACTCTTGTAGTCTACTGTTCATGATAATGGTGTAATGAATGGAGATATTATTAGCAGAATTCATATTGGATGGTTGAAGTGGAGGAATGCATCTGGTTTGTTGTGTGATAGAAAAATCCTCTCAAACTTAAGGGAAAATTTTATAAGATGGTGGTGAGACTTGCAGTGCTCTATTATGGTGCAGAGTTTTGGCCATTAAAAGAAAAACATAATATTAAGTTAAGTGTTATAGAGATGAGGATGCTTCGGCGGATGAGTGGCTTACTCTTAGAGTTTACTGTTCATGGTTATGGTGTAATGGATGGAGATATTATTAGCATAATTCTTGTTGGATGGTTGAAGTAGAGGAATGCATCAGGCTTATTGTGTGATAGAGAAGTCCCTCTCAAATTTAAGTGAAAATTTTAAAAAATGGCGATAAGACTTGTAATGTTTTATTATGGTGTAAAATATTGGCCATTGAAAGAGAAGTATAATATTAAGTTAAGTTTTGCAGAGATGAGGATGCTTAGGTGGATGAGTGGCTTTACGTTTGGGAAACCAAATGTATTAGTGTGTTGCACTAATTCACACACGCTCTTCTATTGCCCAATATACAATGAGTCACTGATGGAGTCACATAACTATCCACATAATTCAAAGGCAAAGATAGATGTGTTCTTTCAACTTTTAATCAGTGAACATAAATTTATTATGTAATAAAGGAGTTACCATATATGATATCTCCATCAAACAAAATTTTATATTGAGGGTAGTATTACTTTGGACAATTGGTGACTTTACAGCATATGGTATGCTTTCTGGATGGAGCATTACAGGCAAGCTAGCTTGCCCATATTTCATGGAAAATATTAAATCATTCACTTTGAAGCATGTAGGAAAAAACACTTGGTTTGATTGTCACCGCATGTTTTTATTTGTAAATCATCCATTCAGCCGAAATAAGGATGCTTTAACTAAGAATAGAGTGGAGACAACATAGCCTCCACCAAGGTTAAGTAACAAAGAAATATTTGAAAGAGTAAATTTTATCCCACTATAATTGATTCTTCATCATACTGTTCACAAAGTGTCCGAGTATGCAGTTACTCATAATTTGATAAAGAAGAGTATTTTTTTGGTCTTTGATGTATTAAAGAATAAATATGATCAAACATAATTTGGATGTGATACCTATAAAGAATAATATTTTTAATAATATGTTCAATACAGTGATGGACATTTAGGGTAAATCTAAAGATAATGTAAAAGGTTTGATGGATTTGAAGGAGAAAAATGCTCGAGTTGAAGGAAGGTGGAAATAGTAAACATCTTAAGCCAAAAACTCAATTCACATTTACTTTAGAGCAGAGGTAAGCTGTCTATGGATCAGTGTAGAGCCTAAATCTACCTGATGGATATGCTTCCAATATCAATAGATTTGTTGACATGAGATCGGGGAGGTTATTTAGATTGAAAAGTTATGACTGTCATATCTTCATTGAATATTTGTTGCCTATTGCTTTTAGTTCTCTTTCAGATTCTATCTTAAATCCCTTGACCAAATTAAGAATCTTTTTCAAAGACTTCTGCTCATCAAGACTTAATGAAGAACCTTTGTTTCATGTTGGGCATAACAATATCAAATAGAACATATGCCCGTGTATTTATCATATGAGATTAGAGTTGGTAGACCTATTTAATATCAGTGGATGTATCATTTTTAGAGGTAATTTTGTGTAAACATAACATAACAAATATTATTATTAAGTTTCAAATTCATACATACATCATTCAGGTATTTAAATAAACTTAAGAAAACTATAAAGAAAATAGTATGTCATGAAGGATCAATATATGTAATATACCTGATGTATGAGACTACTCAATTTTTTACATACTATTTTGATACAAAGTTATAATCAACAAGGAATACTGCACCTCAAAATTTGGGTGATCCAGATGTATGTCTATCTACCAGTAACATATCAGTATTAAACGGAGGTGGCGAGACAGTAGGCGCTTGTACTATCCCTTATGTGACAGATAAGGAGACGAGAGTTTCCTCGTTGTACAAACTGCTTAATTGTGCTGAAGTTGAGCCATATCTTGAGTAAGTTTAAGTTAAGATTCTATAAATTTTATAGACTTATACATAGAGACCCTAATTTTAAAACTTTTACAGGAAGTTCGTTAATGGTCTTATTACAATGTAACTATTATAGTAGGAAAAGAGGGTGTAATCTAAATTTCTAAATTGGTTCAAAGAAATAATACGTATTTCGACAAGTCACTTCAACCTTATATCTAATCAATTAATTTAGTGAAAATGATAATAAAATATCTATACTTTCTACACAAATCAGGTCCACAATGAAGCCAGATAATAGCAAGATAATGATATTAGAGAATTTTTGTATCCTCAAACGAATTGCATATTTTATAATCGAGTACACCATAAGAACATGATATATTATCCCGAAGGATAAAAATACCATTCTTTATGGACTTAATGATAAAATTTACAATTTTGAAACAGAGATTCCCCCATTTGATGTTTGGTCAAATGGGGTTTATTTTATTTCTGGGGTACAGACGTCCCATAGGGGCAAGCCCTTATGGTTAATTACATCTTAAACTTTGGTTTGAGAAAACTTTTGATTAAACTAATGGTTTTCTTCATTTGGAAGTCATTTAAATGTTGGCTAAATTTGATTTTTGAAATCCATGAAAGTTTTAGTTAAAGGATTTGGTCATTTAGGAATTTCATAGAGGAGTTGATCAACTTAGAAATTAGATTTTGGAATGAAGGCCAAGGGAGGTAAAGTAGGAGCACTTAATTCTGAGTTAAACTCAGAGGTGCTCAAACTATCCTATGTTGGGCTTTACATTTTAGAAATCTAATTTTGGTTTAAGTTGATATTTTTATTAGAAAGTTGGGGCTTACATTCCAATAATACGTGTTGGAGGAACTGCCCGAAAAGTGAGAGCTTATGGGATGATTTGGATTTAGAATCAACCAACGCCTCGGACCCTAAAACTAAGGTGAGAACTACCGACAGACAGTGCCTCAAACCTAAATCTAACGAATGCAAAAGAGACTTACAAATTACACCTCACATGAGGCATAATCTGTCCGACCTCTGG